TGGGCATTGCCCGGTACGCCCGATGGCCAGTCCAGCCCTGTTCGCTGGCATCCTTGAGCTTGGACTACAAATTCGAAGTGATGCACAGTAGAGGGGGGCTGGGCCGAAGTGTTTTGTTTGACGCCCATGCCCTTATATAGCAGTCTCTCTGCAAATACTGTGACGTAATAATTCTAAACACGTAATAGAGAATGGCAAAATCAGAACGGGTTGAAAAATCTTACCTAAACAGAATATGAAGTGTTCTTTGCAACCCATGAAGAGACTGATTTCAACTTTTTTGCACTTCTAGAGGCTCCAACTTCACAAAGGCATTTAAGGCACAAAAAGTGGATTTTTCATGATATGTCCCCTTTAATGGAAATCTCCAGTTTCCCCACTTCCCTGATCACCTGTTTTTTACAATGGAGAATTCAGGCACAAAAATGCAATCCACTTCCAATTTCATGAAAGTTGTGCAAATCGCTGGCATAGTGGGAGCTGTAACGTTCAGAGCTTGATGCTGGTGATAAGGTGATCCTACGCCATGCAACAGCGGGGCTTGTCAGGCGTTGTTGCCTTTTACTGCGACGGCGCATATGTGAGCGCCATGCTCGCAGTATTATTGATCAGAGATGCAGTGTCTGTGAAGCAGTTCAGCAGGAAGCATGCTGCATAATCCTAGAGACTGGTTTCACTAAAATGTTAGATGTGGTCTCCAAAAAAAATATATGTATAATTTGGTTTATTTATGGAACTCATCCTGTCTCATTTAAATGCACAACTGGACTCAATTGAATTGTAATGTTTGTAGATACAGACATGACAACATTTCAAAACCAGGTATGGTGGTATGGTGTACCACAGATGTTTTCCAATCATGTATGTGGCCATTTCTGTTAAACAGTGTGAAACCTGCTGCTTTTGCTGTACACACTGATTGGATGAAATGTTTCCTTATAGTAAGAATTAATTAGGCCAGTCTTTTGCAATAACATTCATCTGTCTGAACACCATGAATTATAAAACATTCAAACACTGCTGAGTTTCCCAGACTTTGAAGATACAGTAGATAAAGTAAATTCACATAAGGCGTTTGTATACAGTGGCTCTGTCTAACGCTGCAGCTGGGAGTCTTAAATGTGCGGCTCTGTAGATAGCAGTGGTGCTTATCTGCAGCAGATAAAGTGCAGAATATTAACCGCAGTAAAATGAATCACAACATTAGACTGAGTGTGGTGAGGGGCCCAGCCCGCAGCTCTGGGACAGCACAGCCTGACTCAGCAGATCATGTAGATCAGACAGCTTGTTAGTCGCTCACTAGAACCAATACTTTGAGGAAAGAGAGAACCGACTAAGAAAAGTTTTCTATCATGCTTGAAACAAATGGCTTTTTCCAAAAGTAGAATACTGAAACTCATTTGCCGCCCTGTTTCTGTAACTAATATCATTCTACATGGCAACACTTCAATAAACCGAATCTATTAGAAATTATCAAATAATTCATAATACTATTTGCTGGGAAATATTCAAACACCTTCCATCCATTTTCTTCCCCTTAATCCATTTCTGGATTGGGGGGTGGCAGTCAGAGCTGCACCCAGTACACAGAGCACCAGCCCCTCACTGATCCTCCTGCAGGTGGTGAGTCCACAGGAACCTTGATCTTTCAGCGGGGGCTTCAGGCAAAGTGGGAGTTGTGAAGTAGGTCTTGCAGTGGGTTTGAACCATAGACTGTATATATTAATGGACAGAGTCACGCCTATCTCCGCCGTTCTAACTAATGGGCCAAAAATAGTGCTCTGCTGGAGCAATCCAAAATGGACTTCAAAAATTCACTGCAAGTAAACTAGAGTGGACCAAAAAAATCCACCCCCCTCAGCATTGACACACATGTGGAACAGAGCTTTGGGCCAAGAGCCAACTTTTGGTCCATCCTGTAAAGACGTTTTTGAGAGGTCTGCCAATGCTATATGTTAGCATTGGCTAATTCTTCTTCTGGGTCCACCCCCATCGGCCCGGGGTGGTATTGCAAGCATGTCAGCGCATGTCATTTTGGCCACTTTTGAGCCGAAACCCGCCCCCACTGGTTTGAACCCACATCCTTCAGGCCCAAAGGCCAATGCTCTACCAACTGAGCCACTGTCGCCCCCTATGTTAAATTTACAAAAAGTAATCTTTATTTTTAGTAAGTAATCTTTATTTATATAGCGCATTTTACGAATCAATGTCACCCAAAGAGCTTTACAATGTTCAGAGTTCAGAGACGCCGAACACACTAGCACATAAAAGCCCCCAACAAACACCATCCATTGGCTCACTCATTACATTCATACCATCTGTAAAGGTTTTTAGTGGTGGAGGAAAGCGGAGCAGACACAGAGAGAACATGCAAACTCCACACAGAAAGGCCTGGAGGTCTAACCGCTCTCTACCGTGCCACCCTAAAGCACGTTGTGTTACTCTGGTCCATGAAATGTAGTTTATTTAGTTTCCCCAATTATAGATTACTCGCTTGAATTGCATAATTGTCTTTTCTTTAGAATCTGTTTGTACTTTGTAATTGATAGTTTTACATTTGTCAGAGAGGCTCCTTTTTGTCCATGACATGGAATCTGCCCCACAGGAGACACACATGCACCAGCGATGTGCTCGGGGACAGAGGTGTTTACATGATAGCTACTGTAGGACATCGATTGCGGCGTCCCAGGAAAATGTTTTCTAGTTGGCTTTACTACATTGGTATAATCACTGTGTGCCATGATCAGACTAGACCAGACTTCATGAATCAGAAATCACTTAGCAATAACAATATGCTTTATATGGCTTAATAATAGTGTGCCCTCTTTGGAGCCTTGGATTGTAAGTAAGTAGTAGTAAGTAATCTTTATTTATATACCGCCTTTTCACTGCACATCGGAGTCTCAAAGCGGTTTACAATTGTTATTTTTTGGGAGTGGGGGTGCCAGTACAGGAGGCACATGTCAGACCTATTGTACATATTTTTAGTGGTAGGGGAAAAACGGAGCACCCGGAGGAAACCTACGCAGACACGGGGAGAACATGCAAACTCCACTCAGAAAGGCCCTGGTCCAACCGGGATTCGAGCCCAGGACCTTCTTGCCGAGAGGCGAGAGTGCTATCCACTCAGCCACCGTGGCATTGACTAAATGTTTGTTTTCTTCAGTTTGCAGCAGCATATTTAAACTTTAATACAAATCTGTGGATTTGATCATGCGTAAATGCCAGCAGGACAGAGATCAGCTGATGTGGTGAACCATAAGAGATACTGAATCTGATGCAATGGGAGTCACAAATTGGCATTTATATAAAAGACAAAATCTTGCGACACAACAAACTTTTTACATTGAGAACACAATATTCATATATTTCTCAATCTCTATGCTCCTGCTCATCCGGGGGAATCCTGAGATTCCCCACAGCGCAACACATAGTTCTGGTTCTTTGCCTGAGTCTCCTTCTGGTGGGACATGCCTGGAACACCACTCCAGGGAGACGTCCAGGAGGCATCCAAAACAGATGCTCCTTCTATGTGACTGAGCTCCTCACCATGTCTCAATGGGCGCACACCCACTCTGCTGCTACTCTGCAAAGTGTGTCCACTTGTATCTCCAATCTTGTTCTTTTGGTCATTATCCAAACCCTCATGACCAGTGGGGAGAGAGGGAATGTAGTTTGACCAGTTAATCTAGAGCTATGCCTTTCGACTCACGACAACAGTCGTGAAGACTGTTGTCAGCGACAACATCACTGCACACGCTGCACGATCTGTCAATGTCGCGCTCCTTCCCTCCCTCCGGTATAAGACCCTGAGTATTTTTTAATGGCCATAGCCACTGAGTGGGTACCACTCTTGACTTCCAGCATGAAGTGTACAGATCTGATTCAATACATTGTTTCAATCCATATGCACTAAAGTCTTACTTAGTTTAATTGTAAAAGACAAGGTAGTTCTGAACAAACTGAATGCATAAAAAGTATGTGTGATTTGGAATATTTATCATCAGCTACCTCAATAATTGGATCTTCCCACAAACACAACAAAGCCATAAATTTGTCTGATTCGCAGACACTCTGGGATTTTGCGAGCGGGAGCATCAAGACCCTTTGTCCTCTGTTGGAGTTCAGATGAAGACAGCACTAGACTCACGGTTCATTGGTGGATTATGAATTGGCCACTAATGCATCAACCCATCTGTCTGCAGGGAACATGAAAAGAACTCAATGATCTGCTAATTAAATTTTTGAAGCTGTGCAAAAGAGAAGAAAACACATTACATAATCTACAAAAGCAGACTTGTGTAAGAAAACATGTTTTATCTTTTTCTCATTCACTTTTCATACAGGTCTGCAAAGAAAGTGTAGTTTATTATGCTGCTCTTATCCTGGGGGTGTCACTTCTCCATTCTTTCTGAATCCAGTTCTGATTATGTCATTTTGTGGCAGCCGCATATTCGCTTAGCCATATCAGAACCAGCCACAACAGGTAAAAAAAGAAATATGAATAACTAAATAAGTAAACAAAGTGCTTGAGGATTGGGCTCTTTATTTTCCTTCTCACAGCGGGGTTGTCTACACGCAATCAGTCGCCGCACAAATGATGTTTCTTGGTTTAATTGTCGCCGGTCCGTGCGTGGCGGATGGAACACAGAAAAGTGATAACAATATGCATTTCCAATTAAAGCTGTTCATGTGGAACTTATACTTGAAGAATTGCTTTCTGCTCCTCTCACAAATGTTTAGGATTCGTCCACATCGTGTTAGCGTGTTGGCAAACAATGCATGATTCGTGCTATAGGACCCAAACAGCCTATATCTGCAGCTTTTGTGATATTCTGTATTGTCATAAATATCAAATTAGCAGCCACAGAAATAACTTGCTTAGTGCATATTTGATGTGTGTAAACAAGACTACACGCTTCCTTCCTCTATTTGCTTATGGAATGCAAGAACAATGGAATAATTAGTTTTCTCTGTTGCTTTTCTGTTGCTGCAAACAGACTTGGAGAACTTCAAGACGCAGAGAAGGAATCCAGTGAGGGTCCGTGAGGGTCAGGGAGTGGTCCTGCTGTGCGGCCCACCACCACACTCTGGAGGTGAGATGAGTATTTTTGTTTTTTTAAAGTGTATCAGCAGCCTTTGTGTGTGAAAGTATAGACATGATATGCAACAGAGACTTTTCAGAGCTTTTGGCCATGTTATAGTTTTTTCTACCTTGTTATGGACACAATTTCATTATGTTCCTTCAACTGAGAAGCGAGGGATTGGAACAGTTTTGACTTACTTTGTTCGCTCATTTACATTTGACCAGAACCTGGGAGTCTTTGATAACAGATATATGTAAAGAGGCAGAGTGGCGCAGTAGACTGGATACCGGACATTGTTTTTGAAGGTGGAGGTCATCCTGTAACCCCACTATTGTTAGTTTATTAGGTCACAACATATACAACTGCTTTCACTCTTTGTTCATAAAAACAGATTTGAATGCTATGATCCTTAGAAAACAGAAACAATCCTTAAACACTTTCATGTAGCCCAGGGGGATTCAGCTACACGGCTCTTTGAGGACAGAGATTAAGGCCCCGTCTACACGTAGCAGGGTATCTCACAAACCGAAGATATTTTCCTACGATCTGGCCTATCATCCACACAAACCCGGAGTTTTCTGTCGATAAAAACGAAGGTTTCTGAAAACTCCGGCCAAAGTGAAGATTTGGGAATTCTCCGGTTATGCGTTTGAGTGTGGACATAAATAACCGGAGTATTCGGCTGTACGTCACTACCAGCGTGCTGCTCTGACGTCACACGCGCGACCTGTGTTTACATCAGAAACAACATGGAGGCCATCAAAACCGCTTTTGTTTTTACGATTGTTCAGGCACTTTTTGCTTGCTTGTTTTTACAAGCTCAAATACTGCTTCACGTTGAAGAGCACAGACGAAGGAGCACTTTAAGGTCGGCTATTTTCCGCCAAATAACCATCCCTCGTCCAAGACATGTTCCTCGTCAAAGACGGCAACGGCAATTTTGGGTCAGACCGGGACGCACTGCCAGCTGGTGGGAGAACTTTGAGATGGAAGTCGTCCTCCCGGAGGAAGGTAGGTTTGTAGGTTTGAAATGTAATTGACAACGCATGTATGCGGTTAGGTGTGGATGCCGTTTTTTTAAAAACCGAGGCTGTGTGGACAGAAGTTTTTTTTTAGGCGGAGGGCGGATTTATAAATGCCCTGCTACGTGTAGACAGGGCCTAATACTCAGATGTATTTCAAATGTGTTTACATGTTTTTTCTTCTTCATAACAATAATTGTTATGAAACTCTCCAGTTATCATTCCACAAAACATTAGGACTTTAGTGACAATACACATTTAAGTGCTTGACAAAGCTTGTGTGATGCATATAAACAGACAGGAACAGGAATTGGGGTTGACAAACCTTAAAGTGATATTAGATTTTGAGCAGAATATTCTGAGCCATAATAAAAACAGCAGAGGAAAGAGTGTCGCTGTCTATCCTTACGAGAAGCGACACACTTTCAGTATACCTGCTAATCTCAAACATATCCACATGCAGGTTAATCCTCTTTATCATCAAAACAAGATTTACTTTAGGTTTAGGTACTACGTTTTACATCTTGTTTTTCTTACCCCTCAATCAGTGTGTGTAATGATTGTGAATGTATCCTCAGTGATGGCTTTTCCAAAAACACATTCACACTATTATTTTTGCATGCACATGCGTCTTTCTGACCTGAGTACAGGTGTGCCCAGGAAGCTGCAGCAAACTCATTTTTCAGTTAGTGGCAGTGGGGAAGTTTTCTCATTAATATTAATATGTTGCTCTCAGACGGTCCATTCCTGGTCTAATTTGCTGTGGATAAAACAGGAGTGTGATCCCTCTCTCAGACCCCCCACATGTTGTTTGTGCAGCCGAGGTCAGAGCAGTGAGTCAGCTTCACTTTGGGAGACTCCGGCCGTCGGCCTGCTTAAAGTCTGGAGAGAGTGTTCCATAGAGACTGCAGGAGACTGGCAAAGGGACTGCCAGGCCCTGTAATAGAGCTCTTCTCTGGAGGTGGTGGAAATTTGTGGCACGTCAGCTCTTGGCTTGTATGACTTTATAAATGAGAGTTAGCCTCCACTGCTCTGTCGTATGCCTCCTATAACACCAATATTTCCAAGAGCCAAAGAACTTTATTTATGCTTTCTTTTATATGAATAAATACCATAACCTAAGCATTAAAAGTTGAAAAGAACTGGTGAGACAGATGACAACCCTACATCTGCTACTTTTTGTTGTTAAATCTAGATAGTTCACCTAGTGTCGACATGAAATGATAAAACAATCCTTGGTACACATGGCACCTCCTGGAGCTTTTAGCACACATCCCTTGATGCACAGTATACATCTTAATGTCACCATGTCCTATAAAAACAAGACAATCTGCTCTCCTGTTAGATCTTTTCACATTCCAGGGGACACCGCAACTAGCATAAAAGCATAGAGCATATATCTATTTGCTGCTTGTTTGGTGTCATATGTTGTGTGGACAAAATCACATTTAACCAAATGTATACTTTCCTCAAATTTGCTGATGCAATTTCACACCCTTTATTACAAAACTAGTCCAGCTGAATTGGAATGTTATGGAAAATATGAAATCCAGTCTTGTAAAGGAGTTGATTTATATCGGAGGGGGCTGATTTAAAGTATTGTCTTAATACTAGTATGAACATCTTAACATAAAAGCAATATATCGAAATGATTCATTTAATGTATTTTTGTAATTATGTTTTTTTATAACAACACACATTATTTCAACTTAGAAAGGCAACTCAAAATAGTCAATAATCACATAATCACATCATACATGTTACATATTTGTCAAACATATAATTTTTAGAGCAAAAACAGTTTTAACATGCATCAAACCAAATCACATCAGGTTGTAAATGCTGCACCAGAGACTCTTGTGATGGTAAATTGCTGAATGATTTACTTTTACAGTTAAAACACATTCATTCTTCTGTCTCTGTGGAAATCTAACACCCAGCCGAGTCGCTTCCATTCTGGGAGAAAGTTCACTCTTGTGGCAGGATCAGAGTTCACATCTCGCCGAGTTGAAGGTCTCACACCAGCAACTACTAAAGAGTTCCCTCAATTTCCAGAAAGTTCAAACCAAAATTGATTTGAATAGATTCATGAGAAATATTAATCCAATATGTATGCATAAAACCCACACAATAGATGGAGAAAAAAAATATTATATTTACTGTCTTTGAGAATTTTTACTATGAAAGCAAAAGCCAATGCTGCTAATGTTATTTGAAATGCGTGTAACCACCTGTGCCTAAAGGCATGGAAAGATAAAATGTAAATGTAAGAACAACAAATTGAATGTTCTCTTGGCCATATTTCAACCTCCTAAAGTCTTTCTCCTGTTTACAGCTACATGTATACCTCAGATTTTGCGGCTCTTCCATTTTTGTTGAAATCACACAAAAATGGTTGCTACCCTGTAACATCAACAAACTTGGCAATCCACTGAGCATGTGCAGACTGTGTTTGCTAGCAAAACCAATCAATATACCAATCTTTGAGCAAAATGATTGACTGTGAGGTATGTGAGGATGTACGATCTCAACACATTTTTAATTGATGCAAACCTCTTCAGAAATACCATTAGTTGTTTTGCCAACAACAAAGTAAATAGTCAGCTAATAACTCATAGAAAGTACAGATACATGTTTAGAAGTAATGAGTAAAAGGATAACTCATTATTATGTAGGCTCAAAAATAGTTAGCCAAGTAAAGTAAAGTACTGATTCCAGTAAAACATACTGAAGTAACTTTATTTTCCACTAAAGAACTGTGCCTGTTTGACTTTATACAGTTACTGTGACAGCAAAATGCAAATACTGTGATATAGATTAGCTGTTTCCATTAAGAAGCCGTAAAAGGTTATTAATAGTTACGCTACTAACAGAAGATGAGCGGGTGTATTTGCAAAACTTGTGACGTTTGTACAAATCTTTGAAAACCGCCTTCATTAAAAGTGTCTGTGCGTTGTGTGGGATGTGCGCTGTGATGCTCGTTCAAAGCCAGACACTTCCTGTTGTTCTTGTGTGGCCAATGAAACGTATTGTACTTTCTTTGAACCGTTGCGACTGCTTGTTGTTTGTCTCTGCATTCCTCTTGAGATGGAGCCAGTTTTGGGAATACCAGCACATTTATCAGGACATAAATTATTTAACTTATTTTTTTTCCCTCAGATGTGAAGCTGCTGTGTTTCAAAACGTCAGATGCTTTCTTGTGCCTGAAATTTAGCATATTTGAAAATATCCCTATTTTTCCTCAGTTTATTTGTTTGCATACAAGTATGAATCACTAGAAATGCCATAAAATCTGGGTCTTTAATGTTTTGGCTTTTGGGAGATGCAAAAAGGCTTTTTTGAGAGAGCTGCTTTTAATAATTCATGTTCTTCTTGTCACTCATTTGTTGTTCAAACTTCAGTCTTGCTATTCCCTTTGGACGTGTCATTGTGACGGTGATCATTGGGGACTAGGCCCCTGTAGGCGGTGTTGTCAGGAGAAGGTACAATGCCCCATATCTGTCACATGGGTTCTGGCATGGAGCACTTACCTGCTCCACCACTGCATTACCACCTCTCCGAAGGCTGATTGGACACATTATAGACTCTTAGCTCTTTACAGTAGCACACATAGTGTCTGTGTCCCATTAGTTCTAGAGCTAATAACATGTGGAACCACATAGCTACCTGTACCATATTTTATACAGTCCAAAAAGTTTGGACTTTGAGTATACAATGACATATATATTTTTGAAATGTACCAGACCAATCAGATTGAAAGGGCGGGCTTTATATAGTGATTGGCAGGTGAGCAACAGTTACGTAAGCAGCAACGCCATCAAAGATTGCTTGAGTAGAATACGTTCACAACGAACATGCATGTTTGAGAGGTGAGGTGTGTGGATTCTGCTATGGACTCTTGGTCTAACTGTGCTATCTAACTGTTTACAAGATATGAGCAGCGAATTCATCTGTGAACAGAGAAACGTCATCAAGCCTTTTTTTGGC